GAGTTTATTGAACACGAGGCAGGTGCGGCGGCGGCGCGCATACGGAGTGAGGTCGCCCTCTAGATCAGCCCTCCCCCCCTCTTTCCCCCGGGACAAATTATTCCAAGTTAACGACCTGATCTGATCGCCAGCAGCTCTGCTCTGGGTGCAGAGAAGGGCCCGCATCACACACGCTCAACACTTTTGCGCTGACGTTCGTTCATTGTTGTTGTTGCGAAAACCCCGCCCCGCGTTTTCCCGATTTTTCGTCTTCGTCGTCGAGACAATTCGCGTTAAGATCGGCAAAATACTGCTGCCGCTCATGCGCTCATCCTCACGGTGATGGGACATGGGACGGGTCCAGCCCGGTCCAGCCCGGGCCGACCAGGCCCCTCTCGATTTGGTCCCCGACGACGACGACGACGGTCTCCAGGGGTCCCCGCCCAGCGCTGTGGGACCACTCCTCTGACGTCAGCAAGCGAGCATTAAGCGGCTGCATCTGCCTCTCACAACCCCGCCAATAAAGGGAGTACCTTCTGGGCCAGAGGCGCGCGAGAGTGGGAGCGAGAGAAAGAGAGAAGAGGGAATAGGGGGGGGGGGCAAGACGCACGGTGCTGCCGGCTGATAGGGTCCGTGCGTGTGCGGGTGTGCGGCGATGCGGTTGCGGTGGCCCGGTGACGCTATGGCCAGCCCGCCGGCGCGGCCCCTCTCCCTTTTCCAGCAGACTCGAGCGGTGGACACACACTCGGCACACGTCATTGCTCTGGGACAGGGCCCCGGCCTGTTCCCCGTGGACACTACTTAGCGCTGCCCGCCGTCGTGTTGACGCACTGACCGCGAAGAGCTGGCAGGGGTGGCGGCCGGACCCAGGGGCCTCCAGGCCACCACGGGCTCATCAGAGGCAGAGGGGCCACCACAGGCCCACCTCCTGAGGCAACGAGTGGTTCGAGAACGATAGATAATGATAGTCTAATATGGTGTGGCTGAGTATGAGTGTGTGTGTGTGTGTGTGTGTGTGTGTGTGTGTGTGTGTGTGTGTGTGTGTTTGCGCGCGCGCGCGTGAGCGCGAGTTAGTGAGTGGAGCAGATCCCGTGGGCGCGGTTTGGGATCTCGAGCAGCAGGGCGTTCGGCGGCGTCTCAAAGTAAGGTGACTTTGAGGTTGGTGTGGGCCTGTGCCGCTCCGGTGTTGTTCCAACTCTGCCCCGCGGGCCGCGGGTGCCTACACCTACACAAACCTCCTCCCCGCCCCGCCCATACCCTACCCGAC